TCGGTAGCAAAGATGAAGGCAGGAACCGCTAGCTCCTAGACCAAGTCATTTATAAACAGCAGAAAGAGCATCGGGCCCAGCACTGAGCCCTAAGGCACTCCGCTGGATACGCTGTCAGCGTTTGACAGAGCTTCTCCCACCCGAACTCTATAGGTCCGGTTGGTGAGGAAAGCTTCTATCCATCTAACTAGAGCTGTTGAAAGACCGAAACCTCTGAGTTTTACTTGCAGGATCCGGTGATTTACCGAGTCGAAAGCTTTCCTGAAGTCCAGGTAGCACACTTCGACTTTCTGACCTCCGTCTAACCTCTTTGTAACTTCGTCTAAGAAACAAAGAAGGTTGCTCAGACACGACCTCTCTTTGAGAAAGCCGTGCTAGGCAGAGCTAATCAATCTATGTAGAGTGACGTGCTTACAGAGAGCATTCCTAACAATGGTTTCGAAGTCCTTACACAGCACGTTGGTCAAACTTACGGGTCTGTAGTAACCAGCTTGCTTCCTGTCTACACTCTTGTGGATGGCTACCACTGTGACAGTCCCCCAATCACTAGGTAATCTGCCAGCCCTTAGGGACTCCTGGTAGAGTGCGGTTATCGCAGGGGCGAGCACAGGAGCTAATGGTTTGATGATGGCCGGATGTAGCCCGTCGCTGCCGGCGGACTTGTTTACATTCAAGTCCTCCATGACATCAAGAACAGTACTAAATGAAACTTCTGCATCACCCATTGGAGGGGTGTCTAAAAACTCTCGAGGGACCGCACGCCCATCGTCTATTTTATAGACGGTTTCGAACCACCTCCTGAGCGTCTCACATTTCTCGTAATCTGAGACAGACAGCCCAAGTCCGGGATTCTCCAAAGTGCCCACCGATCGTCTTAGTGCAGTCTTCGATTGCACATAGCCACAGTACCTCTTGGGTTCCTGGCGCGCTACCTTGGCGATTTTAACCTCGAAGGTCATTTTCGCCTATTTTACTAGCTTGTTTGCATAGTTTCTCGCCTTCTTATATTGGTGTCATCGTTCATGTTTTCCTGAGAGAACAAATGCATTTCACCTACGAGTCCTTTCCCCCAAGGCGCGTTTGATGGCCGGATTCCACCACTGCCGTTTTTGGGTGTCCCCCCGAGGCTGCAAGGGAGGATGATTCTCCGTCAGCTCTAATATCTGGTCGCGCTTTATCCCCCATCGTTGACCGACGGACGCTTCGGTTCCTTGTGGGAACCATGCTCTGGCTTGAGCATCTCGCTTCAAGTCCTCTACGTTCATTCGCCCGAAATGGCGGCTGAACCTGCGGGGTGGCTTTTCCTTCGCAATGCATGTTTCTAGCAGCAGTAAATTGTTATCACTGTTACCGAGAGGTCACTGATCTCACTCTCTTGCCGAGTGAGGACCAGATCCAAGGTAGACGGTTTCTGCCCTAGCCGGATACTCGTTGGTTCTCTCACGTTCTGGTAGATGCCGCATGGAAGCAGTTCATTAATTCCTTTTCCTCTTACCCCTCTCCCTCGTCCTCATGCTGCCATTCTATTTCGGGGAGATTGNAATCTCCCAGTATAATCGGTGAGTGATTTCCCCTACCGACTGTGGAAATGAAGTCTATTAGCACTCGATCATCCTCTGGTCTGGACTTTGGTGATCTGTAGACACCTAATATAAAAAAGTGTCGGTCTCTGGTTCTTGCAATGCCTTTAGCTTGAACTGCTGGTGTACAGAAAGTTGGCTGAGATATTTTCCACTGTATATATTGCCGACGAACGAGCAGTAGGACCCCACCCCCTCGCCAACCCTCCCTATTTGTTCTGTAGAGGGTGAAGTATGGAAGGGCTAGTCGTTCAGAGGATATGGTTTTGGATAACCAAGTTTCAGTAAGGATCACAATATCGCATTCCTGGCGCCTCATCGCTAGCTCACCCCATTTGTCCTCATGGCTGCACACATTTGTATACCACAGTTTTAGGCCGTGTGGCTGGAAAACCGGTGCTTCTGGTTGTTTATCCCTTAAGTTATCAGTGCCCTCGAGTGCAACACCCGAGGGCCAACTAAGTTTTTTTGACGTAAAATTCCGCTCTACGTCCTACATGGAGCAGTTACCCTTCCTTTCGAGGAGCCTCACCCTGGTAGGGCTTGACGCCATTTCGATAACCATATCATTGATTAACCAGCAGCCCTGATCTCCAGTTTCGGTGACCACTGAACATCTGTGATACATCCCTAGCTGCGGGATTTGACTCTGTCCCCCTTCTTCGGCCTTTCGAGACTCTGGGGTCTGAGTAGACCTGGAGGTTGCGATCGGCGTCAGCGTCAGGTCCACCACTTTAGTCGAGGGAGTCGGTAGCGTTTTTTCCTGCTTCATTTGCACCCTAGCCACTACTTGCGTATGGATTTCTGCTTTGGGTGTGGCGCTGAGCGGTTGCCCCACAGACTTTATTGCCTTTAGTGGCACAATTGGGAGTGATTTTTGATTCCTGTTGAACTTACATGTGGGGGCTTTGCCCTCTGCACCATCGTTAGCCCCCCAGCCCTTGGCTGCTTGCGGGATCCTCTCTTGGTTTTGAGCTTCTTTGCCGGTTTTGGTTCTGCAGGTACCAATAGTTTCGACCTCAAAGGAGTCGGAGAAACCACCACTGCGTAGCTCAGCTTTCATTAGTGTTCCGGTTTCTTGGCAAGACACGGTTCTGGAGAGGCGTTTACGGTGGCTACCTTAAGCTCGAAAAAGATCAATTTTGATAAAAAGATCTTACACCCTCCTAAACTCGCCGTCGAGTCTTGGATGTGTGGTATCGGATAGCCGTCAGGCGTAATATTATTGCTTGTTGCCTTATAAACCCGCAGGGACGCCAGTCTT